GTCGCTTCACATTCGATCATATTCCATTTCGAAAAGCTTCAGCAGGTGTGGTTTTTATGTTTATCACTTGATCTCAGCCACCTCGGTATGGCCACTTGATATTCGATTGTGAATTTCAGATGAGAATGATGAGACCGAAGTGACAAGTGCTTTCGATCTGCCATCGTCATCTGGCAAAGACCCAGAACGTCTGAAAGATGTGCTGATGACGGTACGACGCCACGAGGACTCCGGTGCTACCCATCCAGTTCTCCAACGGAAGGAATCAGTCATTCAGTCTACGAGGACCGCCGATACCGCTCATGTTGGTTCCTTCGTGGTGACTCTTCTTTACTTTCTTACACATTCTTTACTTTTTCACCTCTGTTTGGGAGTTAGCTTAGCTACTTGTTTTATGGCTATCGAGTGGAAAACAGGCCTTATTTTCTTGAGGGAATTGAGACCTAAATTTCTTCCAACTGGAGCACCTCTCTGGTGGAACCTGAACTCGATCGTTCTCTATTATGTTTCCACCTTCTTCTTTATAATCCTACCACGTGTAAAGTCGAACTTCCCCCTTTCCCTCCCCCCTAGCCCCTTCCTTGAGACCTCGGCATTGATTTTGTTTTGGGCGTCTGCCCGAGGCTTTTGGTGTAAATTGAACTGATCTGAGTAGTTATAGGGATCTCCTCTAACTGTAATATTTATGATCCTACCACGTGCATTTTTCAGACTCCGGTCGGGAGAACCGAATCGCTTCCGATCCCGCGAGGATATGGCAATCAACTGAGCGTTTCAGTGCCGGACACTCCACTGGAAAAGGGCTACGGTGCACCCGTGAGTATTTTGTTCCTTCTGGAAAATTTATTTCCTGGAGAATGCTACCACTACAATTTGTGTAAAATGAACGCCTAGATGATTCCCTAGCTGAAGCACGAGTTAGGCGGTTTTGTCATGATTCTATAAAAAATTTAGTAGGGAATGCGCTATAGAAAAAAATCCACATCGCGCTTGCCTTGTTATTTTTTGAACAGTGAAGGCGAGTACTGTAACTCTCCGTTTTCTCTTGAGGCTTCTGCGGTGCGTAGCATTCGCACACTATTTTGTGATGAAATATGAAGCCAGAACAATAACAGCGTCTTTGCAGTTCTTTCTGCTGCCCTCAGCTGGACATCCGATCGTCTCGTCGTCACTGTCCAGCCCAATATCATCTACAGAATCCTTTCGACTCGCCGCATCACCTTCCTATGTAGGACTGTCGCCAACGCCACGAACTGATGGTGGTTCAACGTCAGATCTGCAAAAGTCGCCTGGATCACTGTCTTCGGAAACACAGGGTGACGATGACGATAAAAAGCAGTACTACTGTACCATCTGCAAGAAAGACTTCAAGCGCCCAGACATACTTTCAAGGTAGTTTATAACTGGATAGTGGAAGTTGTCCATCGCTATAGAAGCCTAATAATATAATAATATTACCAGTTTCGAGAGATGCATGGAGTTTGCACCCCTTTTAGGACAAAATTTGCGTCGAGACTGCTACGGAAACCAAGTTTCATGTTCTTTGTTCAACAATTCATTGAGCACCCGTAGTACTCTGGTATCTTTCCTCCCACTCGTTTCCTCAGTGTTTTTTGCCTCCTAAAAGCAAGTTGTTTTGAATGACCATAATGAGCGTCCAATCTAAAAGTGCTCGCAAAATGTCTGATCCCTACGAAATGTGTTCTGCTCTCGAAGGCATTCATGTGACTCCTGATAACCCCATACGCCACCTACCCTTCTTATCGCATTACCATTGTGATCACATGCGCGAGCGTTTGCTCGGAATTCGCCTAGGCCACTCCCTCCCACCAGGGACCAATTTGGAATACCTCCTTCTGACAGAGGAACCTAGAACTTTAATGGATGAATATTAGTCAAAGACGAAGATGACAGCATTGTTACATCACTCTTGAGAAATGGTGTCCATCTTTGCTAAGGTGTTTTTCACTCATCCTGGAGTTGGAGAAAATTTTCAAAATACGACTCCCCCCCCTTGAAAATGCCTCCTCAGATGCGACCCTCCGCCCTTCCCCATCCTACCTGCCGTCTTCGTCAATTTTCCACTTTTCCTGAAACTTCCCCTGGTTCTTCCCGAAAACCCAAGAAGTTGCCAGCCGGTGGGGGGAGCGCGGGAGAGGGGGAGAGGGGAGGGGAGAGTCAACAACCAAAAACATTTTACTTAAAGGCAGTTACTATCCTTGCTTTCTCCAGCGGCCGAACATGCCCCTTCCCCCCCCCCCTTTGCTGAGGGGACCTAATGTTCGAAGTGCACTGATCCCAGCGTCTCCTAGATTCGATTGATCACTTCCACAGTCGAAGCAGAAAATACCACTTTCTCGACAAGGAAGTCAACCAACCTTGATAGCAAAAGCCCTGAAGGTCTAGAATCATTTCTCGACTCCTTCGCGAATAGTGGGGGTACACCAACTTTATGCTGATGGTTCGGGTTGTGAAAGCTGTTCCTACTCACAACTATGCCTGCTACAAATCATGGGAGAAAGGAAGGCATGCTAGGCTGGGCTGACCGCGTGGAGAGCGCAAAATCCTTATCGTGCGTATTCTGCCGTCTCCTGGACGGGCGAGAGGAGGCTGATATTAGAAGAGCGAATCAGCCGCACATTTTTCTCCGAACAAAGGTTGCAAGGCGTGTCCCAGTGAAACTGATCAATGTCAAAGGTGACAGCATTTATTTGCCCACCTGCCTTATCAACCTTATACGACCCAAGTTTTCCGCTGCTGTTGCGTGTAAAATTTACAATCGCTTGCGCTTTCTGGAAAATCAAAAAGGGCACGACGGAAGGGGTGCCTGTAGCGGAATGTGATGCCTCCAGGTCTATACTACATTCGCTAGGCTGTGTAGCGTCTGAATAAATAACAAGCAACTATATGAAAATGCCAAGAACATTTTAGACATCTACGGCGGCATACTGGTGAGAAACCTTTCGGTTGTGATTCTTGTGGGCGATATTTCTCGCGTTCCGACCACCTACGAACGCATCGACGGACACACACAGATGAAAAACCTTACCAGTGTACGATCTGCTCGTACGCAGCTGTGAGTTGCATTTTCATTTGAATGTTTCCGGCGCCCCCGTGAATCACTGGAATGAATGAGTAGTTCATTCTTTGTAGAGACGTCGCGACGTGCTCACAAGACATATGAGCACTCGTCATCAAGCCAAAGCCGGTCTCTCAATTTTCCAGAAACATCGTGACATAAGAAGGTATACTTTGACATCTAGCACCGTAGTACACTGCATAACCCGGCATTAGATAGAACATGGCTACTCCATTTTTCCCAGGATTATTCCATTCGAGACAACTGTCATCTCGCCTTCAGTTGGACGTACTGAATTGTAATTTCGAATTATCCCAGAACTGCAATATCCCAGCAGAAGCGCAGCCGCCACCAAACTTCGAGTGCGCACGCCCCCTCCATCCGGGATGTGGAGTATATATCGTCCTCCAAGGATGTCTGTTTTGTGTGCGTGCATGTGTTCTTCATGAAATTCGTAGCTCACGTCGCACGACCTTGATTCCACAAGGGTTATTAGGCAGGACCAGAGCAACAGTGGTGGTTTATAGGAATTGATAAAACCTGATGACTTAGGTGGGGGAATTCAAAATAGGCTATACTCACCTCCGAGGGCGCTTCTCTCGGTGTGCGAAGTGTGTGGGTCCGCAGCGGCAATAGCGTGCCACGTTCTCCGCTAAGCATTGCACGGGGACGGGGCTGGAGGGTGGTGATACCCTGAAGTGTCTCCGTATTCCCCCCGTGCTATCCTCATTGTGCAGCACTGGCATCAAAACCAAGTACCGCAGCGAAATACTTAGCGAACACTCTTAAAGACAATTTCCGCGATCAAGTGTAACAGGCATCAGTCATGGAAGCCACCAATAACTCATCAGTAGAGAAAGAAGCGGAAAAAAGTTTGGAAGCACCCTGAGCACAGACCTCTCTAGCAGCAGAGCCGCTCCTTGGACGAGTTCACCATGAGGACAAGCCCAATCAGAAGGATTCTAGGTGGAAGCAATTCCCGTCGGGAACATAGGAATTCGCCCTACGAAGCTCACAAGCAACGCTATATACACACGCAATTCTGATATATTCTTCTCTACAAGTGAGGGGGAACGAAAACCAATACACGGAGGCATTTCGCTGATCACTTAATTGCTGGAAGTGTCTTTAAGGGAGATATCGCAAGACAAGCAGCGCGCCCGACTGTGGTTGGGCGTGTGGCAGGCTGGGCGAAGTATAGAGGCAGCACTTGTGTCACCTTAATTCCTGTTCCCGTGCTTCTTTCACCCGAAGAAAGTGGTATGCTAGTGCAGCTACAGACCCACTATCCCCACAGCAGTGGGGCATTTGTATAGAGACCGGGACGCAGGCATTAATAGTGGGTAAATCAACCGTCTAAAGCCAATGTGGAGGAAGCAGCTGAAAAATCTAATTCAACGCACTGGGCACGATGGCTGGAAGCAGGCGTTTACGTGCAACGTCACTGGTAGAAGGGCTGATTGGAGTGTGGCCAAACGTCCTCTCGCAGTCCTTCCACCAATGACGTTGGCAATAAGCGCCCGCCCTCAGCCAGCGTGTCCGTTGCCTCTAGGTAACACCAACGACGTTGGGTTGGTATTACCTTTCAGGTCGTTCAGCTGCTTGCTCACCATGGATATCGTTGGAATTAGGGAAATGACCAGATTCGTGAAATGCCTTTTTTCAGATGCCTCAGCGACGGCGATCATTCACTGACTTCTTCAGTTGCTTCTGGAGAGCCCAGCACACCGAAAAGAATACGTCACACAACAGACATATCGCCAGTTCGTGAACACCCAGAACAGCGAGATCGAACTCTGACAGAGGTTTGCGCAAAAATCGTCCAATTCTGTGGTTTCACCCTAAGAAGAAGTCGCCTGGCTATTTCACATCTACTATTCACGATTGCTTGCTTGCATCTGAACTTCTGCCTTCTTTTATTGATATTTTATGATATATTAAAGTCACTGCAGATGAGTAAAATCACTTCAGATTGCCACTCCCCGCGATCGGCTTGTCACGGACACATCTCAAGAAGAAATTCCTTCGATGAATGAAATCGAAGACGACGTCATTGTTGATGTTTGTGAGCTCGAAGAAGAGGATGAGGATGATGACGATGATGATGAAGAAGATGACGGCGAAACTGGTCAATAACATTAAGCTGAAGCTTGGAACTACCCAACCGATTTGTCTTCTCCACAGAGCGCACCCCATCCTAGGTCAGAACGGTGGTAGTACTTTGAAAAACCAATATGAGCCCCGCATTTATTGTCATTTGAGACATCTGAGTCTCCATTTTTATCTGTATCTTAACTGCCGATGCACTGTCAATGTTATCCTTTAGCTGCATCTCTGAGACTCGATAGTAGTAACTTCGTAGAATCCCCGGTACTGGTACTTTTCTAGAGGGAATAAGAATCTTGTCCACCGCACGATAGCTGGGAGCGGGTGGTGTTTGCCAACGTCTTTGGTGGAGGGGCTGAATGGGGTGCGGCCAAAGGCCCTTTCGCGGCCCTTCCACCAGTGACGTTGGAAGCAACCGCCTGTCCCTAGCTGCCGTGCCCACTGTTCAAACCACCGAGGTAAGCGGAACCAGCTTTGCGGCTGCACCCTCACCATTGGCGCTTTCCTCGGAGGCTTTTTGAATGGGAAGACAAAATTGCACGCCCTGTTCGCCCCTCCTGCCAAATGTGCTTTCAATCAACAGACTCTGCTGCAGATGGTGGCTAGGTGAAATCTGTAATTCTCCTTTTGGTTATTGCAGTAGGCTACATTTTAGCTATACGTGTTATTGTATGTATATGAAATGCGAATAATCGGAAACTAGAAATAGTGTGTTTTATTCCTTATACAAAACCCCCATGTCATTGTACTAGAGATTAATTTTGTCAAAAACGGTAATTTCTCACTCAGCATTGGAATACCTAGTCATTTGGTCAATATTTATCACTGTGCGCATGTAAGGACTTGTGGTAGTGAATTAGCGTATCCTTACACTCCCGGCTCCTCGAATTGTTATTTACACTCCATACCCCGCAGATTGAGTGGGGCGTGGCTGCATCTTCATGTGAACTTGGCGGTAGCCACGCTTATGGCGAGATGCTACCCATTGAGAAAATTGTGATCATTCCATTGTCAAGTGGAAGATAGGATGACAGCAATTTCACCTGGGAACATCTCGCCAGAATCTTACGCCATATTTAAATGAAATACGCAGCCACGCCTACCCCATCCCTGTGATATGGAGTGTATGCTGGTTCACATGTTCTGGATGTGGGATCGAAAACTAGTCATAAATGCCAATGATTCTCTTTTGTGCTTTTGTAAGAAAACCTCTAGATCGATTTCATTGGACGAGTACTATTCACGTGTATATTGTTTAGAGTCACAGATGAGTTGGTTATCGTCAAAATCAGATTTTTATGAATACTATTGTGAGAATCGGTCATATTGTTTGTCATTCGCTAGTGGCAGTAAGAATTTCTATCTCTTCTCTTTTACACTGTTCTGTAGACAAAAAAAGAGCGGAGATGTACAGACGGCTCTCTCACAAACACCGAACATGCCTTTGCAAAACTAGCTACCTGTTCTTTATTCAGTGAGCGTAGTTTCCTCTTGAACTCAACAATCTATGTTGAAACGAATTAATTAACAAACTCCTTCAATCCGCCTGCAGGAAAGGTCATGAATAATCACAGCAAATGGTAGAACTGTTTCAAAATTTCTGAAATCTCGCACAGAACTCAGACCATTGAAAAAACATGATTCATCACGACCTCTCTATCTGTCAAAGGAAAAGACATAGAATAGCAGAAAAAGATATGCTTGTTCATTTAAACGTTCGGGAAACCAATAAATAGGAGAAGAAACGAAAAGAATGGATAGGAATCGGTGAATCTCCATGACATTTGCTGGTTGTGGGAAATGGCGGTGTCGCAACACCCTCAGAGGGAAGCTCCTCTTTCACAAATCCTTGTTACGGCGTTGCAATCAAAACCATTCGCTTCTTACCGCAAATTGACTGAACTTGAGTGGGAGTGGGGAGGGAGTTGGAAATACGTGACATGGCTCAAACTGCTGCCGTTGAGCACATCAGGCGACGAAATCTCTCCATTGTTGCCGGTCTTTCGCCTTTTTATCCGGACTGGTCCCTAGAAGCAGTCATGATTCGTAAACCAGCCTCGATTGTTCGCCTCCACTTCTTTTTTGGGAACACCAAGAGTCGACAGTCGCAAGTCTCTTCGCTCCTGATGGAAGCAGAAAACCTCTGCCCCTGTACCGCAGAACGCTCGCCACTTCCTGATTCGATGTTGCGACATGCGCAAAATATGGCCAGCCAGCCGACGCAGCGCCACAGTCAGGTGAAAGCTGTCCATCCGTTGCGCCATTGTAGGAGTCCATTTGTGACGTGGTCACTGTATCGTATCTTCAGCATTCGAAATAGACATCGCTTGGGGAGGTTTTCGTTTTCTTCCAAAGCTTCGACACTTTCCACGTTTCCCTTGAATAAAGTGCTGTAGGAATCACGATGGGAGATAGCCCTTCATATTAATGCACCGTGGCACGGTCCATAGTTGTCTGAACAAGGCAGACCTTTTGCAGTCCCGGTACAAACATCCGCTTCAGCATCAAAATTGTGCGAGGGGGTAAAGTTTCTATCGTTAGAAGCTTTATACACAGATACCCTAGATGGGATCCTGTTGTTCAAAGCGCTGTCCGAATCGCGACGAGAGGTAATGTAATGTGGTTGTTTGGCATTGCACTCCCTCTTCTGCAGATCCTTCCGTAAATGATGTGACTCGACACATTCCATCTTTTCATGCATCACAAGTGGCTCAATCAACCCGAAGTCCCTCCCCTTTGGGGTCTATCTCGCCGACTGGAGGGGTGTTTCATCTTGGCCGCAACTCAGGATGGAGCTTTAACACAGTTATCTGAAGAAAGAGCCCTCGTGAAACATGTCGGCACAAAGCATCTCATGAGCAGCCAATCGACAGGATTCTGTCAAAGTCGAAATTCTTAGAGGGCTTCTGAGTGTGCAGGAAGAGTTACTCCCCTGGTTTTTTTCTCTCGATCTCATCTAATTTTATCGTATTCACAACACATGACTTCTAAAAGAAATTGCAAGCTGAGACTAGGTTTGAGCCACGTGTCATCAAAAAGCATAGATATCATGCTTGTGAGCCAGAACGGGAATTGCTGCGGTCCGAGTTTTTCGAGATGGTCTCAACATTTTCAGAGGATACGTGAGCTTCATTCATTGACCGGCTCGCCTCCCATTTCTTATTCTTAGCTTGAACGGCTACTATTTATTATTACTCTGTTAGGCGATCAGTAGTGCAGAATGATATGAGTTTGCACCTACGGGGTCCTATCACGAAAGAGCCCCTATCTCAAGCCTGAATGCCGCTCCAGTGCCCTGGCGAGCCGCCTGGACGACTGGCTCGTTTAACTGTGAGTAAGCTGCTCTTGATGTCGCAGTTTCAGTGAATGCGCGGCCAAAAACGTCGCTAGCGTTGATAATGGTGCGACAGGCTACCTTCGACTGACCAGAACAACGTTTGCTAGGAATATCTTCTATTTTTGGCTGTTCACGCCAGCTTGCGCTTTGCCTCCACTGCTAGCAGCATTTGCGAGTCGAGCGGTAGGAGAGTAAACGATGAAAATAACGGCATTGCAAAATGAAAGGTAACTCAGAGAAATCAGTCACAATACATATGTTGCGAAAGAATAAGAAGCTGTGCATCTGGGCCGGTAACAAAGCAGCATTGTATTTAGCTCAATTGCAAGCTCAAACTAGGCGTTGGTCAAGCGAAAGTTGAGGATAAAGAAGCCCGAATTATGAGATAGCTCGAGTTGACCAACGCGTTGAAAAAAATGAATACTGTACACCTTACAATGAAAAGAAGGGAAAATGAGAAAGTGGAGCAATAGAATACGTGGTCGCGGGGCCAGTGTTCTTCGTGATAAGTGCTTAGTTGACTCTATGTGACAGCGTGTTATAAGTAAGATAAATATAAACCGACGGAAATATACCATTAATAAAGAAACCCTAATGCAGTCCGCACTTAGAATCAGGCGGCCCGTCGCCAAACGCCCATAGCGAGCATGTGGAAAGTGCCACGGGTCACAGCCCGCAAAGGCCTTCCTTGAGCTGCAGTTCCCTTAGAGGGTGCGATTTTTACGGGGTAAAAATTTTCATGCCTTGCTTCAGACAGAAGTTCCACAAAATTCGAGAGCGCAATGATACTTGGCGAGATGACATGCAGACAGGATGGTGCACATCTTATTGCGAAAAGCCGGACCCATCCTACTGGAGTATTGAAGAGAAATCCGCGATGGGATTTTTTTGCTTTGCCAGCGAGCCCTAAAAATATTAAAATTAAGAATAAAATCATAAATAAAATTGCTACGATCTTTGAAAACGGAGATCTTCGGAGAGAGAGAAGATTTTTCGAGGGTTTCACTTTAATCAAATCTATTCGTGTTCACTCTACTTCCTTTTACGTTCCCTTTACATTAATTCATAAAGAAGTTACATCCATTCAAACGTCAAAGCCTCGTGCCATCTGATCTTCATCCGCGACGGGCTAATTTTCATACAACAGAACAACTGCAGAACGGTGTGGTTTCCGAAAATCGAAATTTCATGGGTTGTTGTAATGGCCTTTGCTGTGGCTCGTCCCTTAACAAAGCTGTGACGAAGTTGTGTTGTGATTGTGCTCCTCCGATAGAGTTTGCGAGATTCAAGCGTCTTACAAACGATATACTAATATTCTTAACATGTAAATAGAGGAGAAAAATCTCATCAGTTATAGACGATAACAATGCTGACCGGTTTAACGAGGAGTCACGAGATTGACGGGGGCTTACAGGTATTCCGTCGGAGAAGGCTTAGAAGTAATTATCATCTAAACAGTTCGGGGGGCTGCCCCTTTCACTTGGGCATCCGTAGCCTGGAATATTACCTTCCTCCCTTACGCACCAATTTACAATGCTCTCCTCTTGCGAGCCCATACTGGTTCATCTTCTAACCGTGTTCCTAAAAGGTCAAAAAATTCTCAGGTGCGGTGGCAAAAAATTTCAGTTTCCGCGTTATTTCTGAATCAAAGCAACTGAGAGCTATACGATTCTTCAGTGTAGGGTGAGCCGTT